ATTATATTAATATTTTCCTTCATCATTTTTCCTGGGGTTTTTTTTTTTTGTGTGTGTGTGTGACATTATCTACCTGCTTGTCTCTTGGTATTTCTGCATTCTTTCCAGTCATTGCTTGACTGGGAATGTATTCTTTTTCTTTTAGGCTACTTTCTGGAAATTTTGCTGGCAAAAACAGTCATAAGAATGATGAATGCAAAGCAGGTTGATAATGGTCAGACTTGGATGCATGAAATGATGTAGGCCTCAGGTGGGTGTGAGAGGGTTGGAGGAGAGATTTAGACCCTTGCCTCACCACACAGTGAGTGGAATGTCTCCAGTATGAAGATTTCCTGCTTTCTTTGGAAGGCGGCCCTTACCGTTGTTTGGGGAAGAATCATTCCATTACATTCCTAAAGACTGTGATCATGTGCTCCTTGCCTTTGCTAGGTTCCTCATACACTTAGCATGGCTCAGTGTAATTGCCTATCAGGCTGGTAACCACAGGCCTGAACTCTGAATTCTTATCTTTATGTGTCCATTCTGGCTCTATAGTAGCTGAATCATGAATCACAGGTACCCTGATAGTCCAGGATGGGGTGTGTGTGTGTGTGTGTGTGTGTGTGTGTGTGTGTGTGTGTGTAAAGGGGCACAGCATAGCAATACTGCCCTTCTGTCTTAGTCTGCTTTGTGCTGCTATAACAGAATACCTGAGACTGATTATGTTATAATGAACAGAGATTTATATCTCATAGTTCTGGAGGCTGAGAAGTCCAAGGTCAGGGGGGCCCACGTCTGATGGGGGCCTTCTTGCTGCGGTCATGCCACAATAGCAGAAGGTAGGAAGGCAGGATCGCATGTGCGTGAGAGAGAAATGGGGCTGAACTCATCCTTTTGTCAGGAACTCACTTCCTTAATAATGGCCTTAATCCATTCAAGAGGGCAGAGTCCTCATGACCCGATCACCCCTTAAATGTCCCACCTCTCAACGCTGATGCAAAGATTAGGTTTCCAGCACCTGAACTTTGGGGGACATATTCAAACCATACCACATCCGAGATAGGATTTGCCCAAAGCATACAAAATGAATATAAAGTGAGAGAGAAAGGGAGAAATAAGGAAGGAAGAAAAAGAAAGACATAATGGATATAAGTATCAGGTGATGGGATGGAAAGACATTAATGGGCAGGGGCTACTGTAGATTGGGTGGTCAGCAAAGGTCTCCTGGAGAAGGCAAAACTCAATCTGAGAGATAAATGACAAGTAATATACAGTTATAAAAAGAATAATTGGAAGAGTATTCCAAGCAAAGGAAAAAGCTAGCGCAAAGGCCCTTGGGTTGGAATAATCTCAGTGTGTTTGAGGATCATTTCTATGGCTGGAGTGGAGTAGGCAAGAGGAGAGTGGTAAGAGATAAATAAGATCAGAGAAATAAGTGGGGCTGAATTATGGAGAGCTTTGCCAACTACTGTTAAGAGTTCAAGCTTTATTTATTTATTTTTAGCTTTATTTTTAAATATGATCGAAAGCCACCCAGAGGTTTTCTGATAAGAAATGAGGGCGACTTGATCTGATATACATTTTTAAAGATTGCATTTTTAAAAGATCACACATTTAAAAAAATAGGAAGAATATTTTATAAAAGAGAAAGGTAGAAGAATGAAAAAACGAATGCCAGTGAGGAAGCTGTTGCTGTAAGGCCAGGTGAGAAGTGATGTTGGCTTACACCAGGGAGGTGATGAAGTGGACAAGCAGAGAAATGGACAATTCTGGATAGCAGAGAGGACAGGATCAATAGGTGGATTAGAGGTAGAGGGTAATGGAGAGTAAGGAATCAGATTTAAGTTACAGATTTTTGGCTTGAGGTACTAGGTAGATGGTGGTGCTTCTTTCTGGGATAGCTAATGGTGGTGGAAAATCAGATTGGGGAGGACTGTGAAGTCAGGAGTTGTTTTGACCATATTATTTCCAAGAGATCTAATTGAAGATGTCAAGTTGGCCCCATTGGATGTACAAGTCTAGGGACTCACATTTCATGACTAAGACACGTCTAGAGGTTTGATTTGGCTGTCATCATCTTACAAAGGAGATCTAAGGGGCTTTTAGACATAGTCTTAGTTTACTCCAACATTTAGAGACGGGGAACAAGAGAAATTATCAGTGAAGGTGTTTGAAAAAGAATGACTCAATAAAACAAAACAAGGACCAAGAAGATGAGATGTTATGGAAGCCAAAAGAAGAAGGTATTTCAACAATGATGGGGCAGGCAATGTGTTGATTACTGCTGAGAGAGAAGGGACCTGTGGGTTTGGCAACGTGGACATCATAGTAGAACAATCTTTGAGGTATGGTGCAGGCCAAAGCATATTTGGAGTAGGTTAGGTATATGGAAGAACAGGTCTTGAATAGAAAACAACTTTTTATAGTCAAGGGAGTATTTTTGTTTTTAATTAGAGATTAGGAACACATTTGTATGCTGATAGCTGTGTGAAATAAAATTCAGTGAAATATAGGCTGTTGTAGAAATACTTTGAAATTTGAAACACCACCTGGTCCCTCTTAATACATTAATAAGTTTTTGTGTGTGCTTGTTTTGTGTAAAGAGATTGTTCCTTTTTAAATTTGGAGAGTTTGTTAAATCTCCAACATGTTGAAGCCAAAAAATACCATGTGAGTAACCTCATTCCTTACTGCCGTGTTTTCATATAACATTTGTGATGCCCATGAGAAGAACATTCCTGTAGACCCAGGATGTGTGGGAGTTCAGTGAGACTCAAAGTGAGTACAAAGTAAGCTTATCACGTCTAGGACTAAGTGTGCAGGGGTGCTGACAGCCCCTAGGGAAAGCACTTTCCATTCACATCAGAATTTGCTTCAAACACAGAAAGGAAGCATTAGTGTTCTGAGAAATATGAGCAATAAGGGGACCCTATCATATTCTTTCTTAGTTTTATTATATTCCAGTGCAAATAATGATATGGAAAAGGATAGTTTCTTTTCCTTTCAATCATTCCATACTCATTAGTAAGCTGAGGGTAGATAGCATGGGTAGAATGTACATATATCAAGAAATTAACTCAAATAGTTGAGTTGGTTTTGTGCAGTATTTCTACTATTCTGGTAAAAAGATACATGTACATGTGTAAGCTGGGAAATTCAAACTGTAATTTTGATGATTGCATATGAGGTAAATATACTTACATTTGCATTTAAATCTGGCAATGTACAATATAAAGATGAACGACGAAAATTCATGCTAAAAATTTACAATTTAAATTTTTCTTAGGACAATATTAAGTAGCAAATAAGAACATCATGGTAATTCAACAGAGACAATGTGGAAGGAAAGCACTTTAGATTCTAGTACTCTTGATAGCACTTTCCTGCTTTTTTTTTTTTTTTTAACAAGGAGCCATGTATGTTATTTAGTGTGGGTACCACGAATTATGTACCTAGACCTGGGGCCAGGCACTGTGCTGGGAAACAGAAGCATTATGATGAACACGTAAGATATAGATCCTATCCTGTCCTCATGGAATTTACATTTGAGCAGGGATAATTTCATAATACCAATTGTTATATGAAGTACGAACGAAAGGTACAGGGTGCTGAGGACATGTAAGTTGAAAAACCAGCTGTGGTGGGAGCTTCGCTGATTGCCTACTCAACAGCCCTTCTCCCTTGCCAACCAAATTCACTTCCTTTAGAGACTGAAATTGCCAGATCCTTCCTTTCCCAGCAGGTAGGGTATAGGATGTGACTAAATTCCATCCAATGCTATCTGAATGGAAGTTAGTTGGGTACAGGGACATTTTTAGAAAAGATTTTCCTCACAGATTAAGAAAGAAATATGTAAGGAGAAAACCCATCCCTTCTTTCTTATAACTTTAAATATCGTTAAATGAAGACATGATGCCTGGTGCTGTGGCAGCCATCTTGTGATCATGAAGGAAAGTCAGGAAAACAGCAGAAAGCTTAGGCAGGGCTGTAATATAATTTTGAACCTCTGAATCCATCCAGACCTATATGTTATAGAATTCTTGTTAGGTAAAAGAAATTCTCACTGTTAGAGATACTTCTAGTTGGGCATTCTGTTGTTTTCTGTCAGGACTTCCTAATTGCACCCTTTATCTAATCTGGGTGATCAGAGAGGCCTCCCCTGAGGAAGCCACATTTGCATATACACCAAAAGGGTGACCAGGAATTAAGTTTTTAAAGATATGGGAGAAGTGAGTTCTAGGCAGACAGCATAAACACGTTTGAAGCTCCCAGATCAGGAAAGCACTCGGTGTGTTTGAGAAGCTAAAATTTGCAAGGGTTTGTGCTGAGGACCAGAGTAGATGAGCAGCATCCTGACTATCAGGTTCTAAGATACACTAGCAGACAGCCAACTCCACCCTTTTTCTTCTGGAAGATGGTGATGAGCTTGTTGCTGCTACTCTATAAACTGTCCAAGAAATTTCAGACTCCAGAACTCAGTGGATCGATCATCAGCTTTCCCCCAGCTAACTAGCAGCAAAAGCGATCTTAGCATTTTGTTCGGAGTCCTACTTGTGGAAAGTGGATGCCTCGTTGCATGTAGCTACTGTGAGTGGTGACACAAAGCTTACCAGATTTTTAGCAAGCCTCAAATCCTTTGACACGTAACCTAACTTGTCCTGGTAAGTAAGCAAAATGATGTGGAGGCAGCAGAGGGAATAGAGTGTAAAATCCATGGAGGTGTGCTTCAGCGGATAGACTTCAAATATTTTTATGAAAGACTTGGATGATTCCCCAAATGATAAGAATAATGCAATGAGCAAAGTCATCAGGAGTGTTTGTGTAATTGCAGTTTTAATGGTTAGAATCCACTCAGCCACTATGACGAAGGTGTGGCCTCACTGCCTGACGGTTTCCACAGATAATGATACCTTAAGGAACAAGGCTGTCAGAGCCATAATCATCGTCGCGTTTACCAACGCTACATCACAGTCATCAGATTCAGTGCCAGAAAGGGGGCGAGCTGTGCTTTACAGCACAGACGTGTACCTCAGAAGCCCATTTAAGCTGCAATTACACAATAGCAGTGATTTTCTGTACTTTGTGGGAGGAACGAAATGAAACCCTGGACCCTGTTGGAAACAGGAAAAAAAAAAAAGGTAAGAGAAGGAAATAGCATTTTAATTATGTTTAAAAAAACGTATATTGCACCTGTCAGCATTATAAAATTATTAATCCTCATAACAGCCCTATTAGTCAGTCCCACAGTTGAAAGAAGAGGAAATTAAAGTAATGAGATACCTAAGTGGTTTGTCCACTGCATGAGTGAACTAGAGACATCAGGGAATAAAACTGGCGCTCTTGATTTGGCGAGTGGTTTTATGTCACCTTTTCTCCTGCTTTCTGAGCCTTGACCTAGATTGGACAGGAAACACAAGATGATGCTCTGGGGCCCAAACTGCCGTTGCCTTTGTGATGTGAATCAAGTAGAAACAGCATGATTTAGTTGCTGAATAATCTTCTAAAAAGGAAAATTCTAAAGCTATAAGAGATATGTTAGTGGATTTTAAGGAAAATCTGATGAAAGTATCCAACTTGAACTAGAAGAGGCATTTGCAATTTTCCTATGTTAGTGGGTTTTTTTCTTCTGTCTCTTTCTCTCTTTCATTCATCACATGTGGGTTGAAGAGTTGAATGCCTGTTATGTGTCTGGCATGGCTCTAGGCACTAGGAATATACCAGTGACTCAGCCAGTCCAGGTTCTTTTGCTCTCACAGACTTACCTTCTGCAGGGAGGGAGACAAGCAGTGAACAAGTAAAAAAGAAATGAAGAAGATAATACCAGAGAATCATGCCTTCTAAGGGAAACAGAACAAGGTAAAGGAAAAAGCATGAGTCTGGAGTGTGGGGTTCCTTTGGCTACAGTGATCTGGGAAGGATCTTTAAAAAACGAAATATGTGTGGAGACTTGGCAGGTCGTGGGGACAGATTCCTGGTGGTGAGGTCTGCAAGTGCAAAGGCCCTGGGGTAGGAACAAGAAACCAGTGTGGCAGAATTGTAAGGAGAAAGAGGGTGAGTGGTAGGAGATGCAGTTGGAGAGCCATTCATTCATTCATTCATTCATTCATTCATTCATTCATTCAAGAAAATTGAGTACTGCATGCCAGTCACTGCACTAGGTGCTGCTTTGGGAGGAAGGTTCCATGCCTTCCTTCTTTTGTGGGCTCTTGTGCAAGATTCTTCAGAATTATAAAATTGAAGAGAAAAAAAAAAAAATGCCCTGCCCAGTGGGCCTCGGTCTCCTGTTTCTTTCATGCCTGTTCTGCAGAGAGGTGTTTAATGACCTTATTTTGCCTTGTGTACTTTCATAGAAAAAAATCCTAACACATTATTTCATGCCTATTTTTAAGGTAATTTATGAAATAGGAATGAATACTGGCACAGTTTGTTCCAGTGAGTCTGTAATAATCAAATACTCCCTTCCTTGGCATATTTTGGCCTCCAAAGGGATTCTAATTGAGAGCGGTTTTGCAAAAATCAGCATTTAGTATTCTGTGACACTCATTCGGCAAGCACTTTGTTGGTGTAATAGGCTTCGATGTATAAAGTAATTTGAAGAGTGGTTCGGAAAAGAATCCCAACCAATCTCCGTGTGGACCCTGGCAGATGACACTGCTGAAGCTGGAATCAGCATAGATTTGTGCATTTATGGGTTTAGTTTCGTTGGTTGAGTCCAAACCACTGTAACAAATACTGGATCAAAGGGTATATATGACTTTTTTCTGCTATGTCCAAAGCCTTTATCATATACTGAACCTTAGAAATCTCAAAATCTCAAAATGACCTACAAATCAAATATTATTTGCTTCTCTTATTATTTGCTTTTATTTCCTTTTGGTTTAGATTTTATGATCACTTGAGCCTATGGAGGAAATACTATATACACCTATATTCTTTTAGCCCAGACACATGAAATAGTTTGCTGGGAGGAATTGAGGAGAGTTGGCATAGTTGATTGGTTGATGTAGCTAATTTGCATATATCAATGTACACTTCATTATAATTTTTTGGGTGATACTTGAAAGCAAATTATGTCTGTCCTGTCTGAATTACAGGTGTGAGGAAGGTCACATAATTTGATTATATGACAAATTTGCTGATTTCCAACTCCTGCTACTGTCAATGCCTTGAGTAGAGAGGCTATATCTTACTCACTGCCATTTCCCTCAGCATCTAATACAAATACTTATGCTATTTGCACTGACATATCGTAGGTGCTCATTAAATACTTGTTGGATGACTGAAGTATGAATAAAAATAGGAACTACCATGAATTAGTTTTAATTAGGACAATTTTCTTTTTGTGTGGGATAAGCCAATTAAAAATTTTCAGACATATTCACTTGTAGTATTTCATTTTCTTTTTATTGTTACAAATGATTTTATGTGTATATAATAATTTTATGAATGTATAGATGCGATGATGTTATAATACCATTTTCTTCACTTGGTCAGTCTTCCATCCCTTCATCCTTCTGCCCCTGCCTCCAACTCGTATTAATAACCTAATCATGTATCTAATAGAGCATGAATGTAAGAGCCAATATTCATCTTATCTCAGTACTACCACTCCTTACAAGTGGTGGGACCTTGAAAACATTTCATAAATTTTTTTGTGACTCAGTTTCCTCATGTCTAAATGAAGATCATAAAACCTACCTCAAGAGATAGGAAAATGAAATGAACTAATATGTCATATGTCAAGCTCCTAGAATAGTGCCTGTCGCCTGCTTATCTGTGAATGTACTGACAGGCTGTGGGCAGGAGGCTTCAGTCCCTTACTTACCACATGGGCTTCTCTACAGAGCTGCTCACAACATTGCAGCTGACTCCTCCCAGAGACAGTCACCTGAGAGACAGAGAAGAGCAAGTTGCAATGCCTTTTATGACCTCATCTTTGCAAACTTACAGCTTTACATATCCTCATGTTAATATTTTAAATGGCTACATTTAAAACACCTACAGAGTTTCTAATCTTGATTAAAAGATAACCACTTTTTTGTATATGTAATCATGAAGAGTTCTTACAAGATTTGTCTTATTTTTTAAAAAACAACTCTTTAGTCTATGTGCAATTCATTACCATGTACGACAAAGGGTCTACTTTTATTTCTTTTTAATGGCTAAACAGTTACATAGCCAAAATTAATTTTATCATCTATCTTTTATTCTGAATTGAATTTGGATCTTTATCATTAACTGCTGAACACGTAAATACCGCCAAATCTCGGTGGCCTAACATAATTAATAAAAAAATTAATATTTTTTTTTCTAAACCAGTGTGGGTATTTCTTGGTGGGCAGCTGTCTTGGGTTGCCTCTTCCAACCAGTGATTCAAAGACCCAGGCTCCTTCCATCTTCTGGGTCCTCAATCTTCAACATGAATCTTCTAATTCTGCCCTGGTAGTCACCACCATTCCAGTTAGCCAGAAGTAGAACTGTGCACGGAGAATCAGACATGTAAGATTTTTAAGGGCTAAGATTGGAGGTGGTGCACAACATTTCTGTGCTTGTTTCATTAGCCAGAGCTCAGATGCATGGCCCCTCCATGACAAAGGAGAATGGGAAATACATTCTAGTTGGTGCCACTGATCTGTCAGTTCTGTCATATTGTTTTGATTATAACTTTATGATGTTATGGTATCTTGTGATCTTTCTTAAAGAAAGCCCCCTCTGTTGGTTCTCTTTTTGTGTACTTTCCATCACTTTTGGGGACCATTATTCTTCTGTACAAAGTTTAAATCCATTTTATCAAATTTCAAAGTCAAAATGAAATAGCCATAACAAAACTCCCTGTTGATATTTTAATTGAAAATGTATTAAATTTAATATTATTTGTAGAAGAGGTGATACTCATATGCTATTAAGCCTTCTCAACTATGAACATGTATTATGTTTTTTGCTTAGGTATTATTTTATGTGATTCCTTAAGCTTGAACTATAAAAGAAACTAGAAAGATTCAGAAAGGTTCACAGATGAGGATTTTTTTTTTCTCTTTAAATTAAAGTATAATTTACTGATTGTTAAATGGACAGATCTTAGATGTACAATTACATGTGTTTGGACAAATGTATACACCCCTATTAAGATACACAATATTACCATCACCCTGGAAGATTCCATATGTCTCTTCCAGTGAATTCCTACCACAATGGTAATTATTGTTCTTTGATATTCAGCACCATAGATTCAGTGGTACTTATTCTTGAACTTTACATAAATGAAATAATATATTATGTACTTTTTCATCTCAGGCTTTTCTTCTTTGTTTCATGTGGAGATTCATCTATGTTGTTTCATTTATCATTTTGTTCATTTGTATTACCAAAGTAGTATTGCATTGCATGAATATATCATAATTTATTCGCATTTTGAATAACATTTGGATTGTTTTAGTTTGTTGCTGTTATGTTTAAAGCTGTTACAGATATTCATGTGCAAATCTTTGTGTGAACATATGTTTTTATTTCTCTTGAGAAAATACTTAGGGGTAGAATTCCTGGGTCATAGCATAGGCATATATTTAACTTTATGAGAAACGGACAGTTTTCCAAAGTGGTTGTGCTATTTTACACTCCCACCAGCAATGTATTGTCCACATTAATAGTTGTCACACATTACATCCTCACCAACACTTGGTGTTGTCAGTCTTTTCAGTTTTGGCTATTTGATTGGATCTATAGTAGCACATGTTTTTAAAATAGCAAGTTTATTACAGTATAATTTACATACAATATGATGCATGCATTATCAGTCTACAGTTCAATGAAGTCTGAAAGGTATGTACACCCACATAACTATCACCACAATCAAAATATAAAATGTGCCTGTTACCCCAAAATATAAAAATGTCCATTACACCTCATGCCCTTTCCATTCAATTCCTACCTCTCATACGAGGCAACTACTGATTTGCTTTCAATCACTGTAGATTTGTCTTTCCAGCAGTTTCATTTGAATAGATACATAAAGTATATACTCTTTTGTGTCTGGCTTCTTTCACTTAGCATAATGTTTATGAAATTTATCTATAATATTGTGCATATTAGCAATGTGTTCCTTTTTTATTGTCAAATAGTATTCTATTGTATGAATATGCCCCAACTTACTTGTTGATGAATACCTGGGATATTTCTAGTTTTTGGCTATTGTGAATAAAGCTGCTATCAACATTTGTGTGCAAGTCTTTTTTTTTTTAATTTATTTTTTTTTCTATTTTTTTTTATTTCGGCATATTATGGGGGTATAGATTTTAAGGTTTCAATAAATGCCCATTCCCCCCTCCCCCCACAAGTCTGAGTCTCCAGCATGACCATCCCCCAGATGGTGCACATCTCACTCATTATGTATGTATATACGAGCCCCCGCCCCCCTCCCACGTGCCCAATACCCTATTACTGTAGTACTTATGTGTGTGTGCAAGTCTTTACATGAACATATGCTTCCATTTCTTGTGGGTAAATACCGAGAAGTTCAATTGCTATATCCTATTATAAGTATATGTTTCTTATAAGAAATTCCCAAACTTTTTTCCAAAGTGATTGCACCATTTTGTTTTTACAATTAATGTCTAAGAGTTCCAATTGTTCCACATCTTTGGGATTATTCATCATTTTAATTTTAACCTTTGTACATGGTTAGTATCTTATCAGTTTTAATTTTCATTTTTGATGACCAATTATGTCAAGCACCTTTTGATGTACTTATTTGATATTTCAGTATGTTCTTTGGCAATGGGTCTGTTCAAATCTTTTGCCCATGTTTTCTATTGAATTGCTCTTTTTTTAAAAAAGTTGAATTATAGAAATGCTTTACGTATTCTGAATATGATATCTTTGTAGATATATGGCAAATATTTACTTTTAGTCTCTGGATTTATTTTTCATTTTCTTAATAGTGTCTTTTGAAGAACCAAAGTTTTTTAATTTGAAGAAGTCCATTTAAAAAAATTTTTGTGTCTTACGTAAGAAATATTTATCTATGTCAGGTTCGCAATGATCTTATACTACTTTTCTAATTGATATTTTATAGGTTAAGCTTGCACATGTGGTCTATTTTCCACCTCTAAGTATTTTTGTGTATTGTATGATAGGGTGTTGAGATTCATTTTTTATTCTATATGGATATTGAGTTTTTCCAGTATCATTTATTGAAAAGATTGGTCTTTCCTCATTCAACTGCCTGTGTTGAAAATCAGTTGAATATATAATATGGGTCATTTTGAGGTCTATCCTTTTCTTTTGATCTCTTTGACCATTGCTATATCAATACCATACTATCTTTTTTATTATAGCTTTATAAAAAGTCTTAAGATCAGGTAGTGTGAATTTTCCAACTTTATTCTTCTTTTGTAGTATTATTTTGATTATTGTAAGTCCTTTGCATTTCCGTGTAAAGTTTATAGTCAGCTTGCTAATTTCTATTTTTAAAAGACTGCTGAATTATTATGATTGTGTTGAATCTTTAGGTCTATTTGGAGAGAATGGATAACTTAACAATATTAAGTCTTCTAATCTTTCATCATGATGTATCTATTCAAGATTTCTTTATTATTTCTCCGCAATGCTTTATAGTAATAGTTTTCAATGTAGAAGTCTTACACAACTTTTGTTAAACTTATTCCTAAATATTTCATGTTTTTTGATACTGTCATAAATGGAATTATTTAGAAATTTTTATTTTTCAATTTCTTGCTGCTAATATATAAACATATAGTTGGTGTTTGTATATTGACTCTGCATTCTAAAACCTTGCTAAACTTATTAGTTTTAATATTTTTTATTATAGATTTCTTAATGTTTCCTTTATAAATGGCCATGTCATCTGTGAAGAAAGACAAGCTTATTTGTTCTTTGCAATTTTATGCATTTTATTTCATTTTCTTATTCTATTATACTGGCTAGGACTTCCAGTAAAATATCAAGTAAAAGTAATGAAAATGGATAATTTTATGTTATTCTCAATCTGAAGAATGTCTTCAATATTTCACAACTGAATGTTAGTTGTAAGTTTTTCATCAAAGCCCTTTTTAAAAAAAATCAAATTGAGAAAGTTCCCTTCCATTCCTACTTTATTGTGAGATTCTATCATGAATGGATATTAAATTTTGTCAGATACTTTTCTTAAAGCTACTATTAAAAAAAATCTTCAGCACTAGATATACTTATTATGAAATTTTATCTAACCTTAAAGAATAAATAATTTTTATGTTATTTAAACTTTTCTAAGCCTTAAGAAAAGATTGAAAAATCTCCCCATTTCATTTTCTAAATCTAGGGTAACTTTTTTTTTCACATTTTATTTATTTATTTAGTTTTTTATTTTTTTCAGCATATTATGGAGGTACAGATGTTAAGGTTACGTGTATTGCCCTTGCCCTTCCTCCCCCCTTGAGTCAGAGCTTCAAGCATGTCTATCCCCCAGTTGGTAAGCATCACACTTGTTATGTATGTATGTACCCATTCCCTCCTCCCCCCTCCCACCTGCCCGACTCCTGATAGATGTTATTCCTATATGTCCACTTAGGTGTTGATCTGTTAATACCAATTTGCTGGTGAGTACATGTGGTACTTATTTTTCCATTCTTGGGATACTTTGCTTAATAGAATGGGTTCTGGCTCTAGCCAGGAAAATACAAGAGGTGCTATATCACCATATTCCATAATATACATATAGCACATTTTATTAATCCATTCATGTATTGATGGGGACTTTGGTTTCCACATCTTTGCAATTGTGAATTGTGCTGCTATAAACATTCGAGTGCAGGTGTCTTTTTCATGGAGTGACTTTTGTTCTTTTGGGTAGATGCCCAGCAATGGGATTGCTGGATCAAATGGTAG